CGATTAGGTATTATTTTCCTTTTGTTTCCTTGTGTAATTAGTGTGTATGTATGTAATTAGTGTTTATAATTGTGTGTATTTATATACAATCTTCCTAAGTGCGCATATTGGGAGACAGTAAAGCTCACGTATTGTGACGTAAATAAATACATAATTTAAAACTTCGATATATAGCTTTTGATACATTTTTTATAAATCCATTAAGGTATATTGGTTTAATTAAACACCGAAACCCTCCATTAAACCCTTTGCCACAAACTCACTAATGGTTTATTTACGAGAAATATATTCCGTTCCTCTCGTTCCAGTTTCCCGCCTAATCGCGGTTTATCCAATGTAGATTTTTTATCCGACTGAAAAGAAAGAGCATTTGTATTGAATTTTTATATTCTTGTTACTGATATATAAATAGATCAGGTTGAAGAATTTTTAGGTATTTTCTTTATTTGAAGATATAATACAATAGTATCATGAGCAGAATAGTATGCTTTATCTAAGGACGTTACGGATAATTAGACAAAAATACAGACAATATAATATGCATTGTAACTTGATTATAAATGGCAATCTTATTATTAATATTGTAAACGCGAAAGTTTGTGTGTATATATGTTTCTTATTCTTTCACGCAAAAACTACTGAACGGATTTTGATGAAAGTTTATACTACTTTACAGTAATATAGGTTATACATCAGAATAACATATAGGCATATAAATTACAAGCGGGTGAAGCCGCGGGTACAGCTAGTAGATAATAAATGAAATGAAACTTAAGCATGTGTACGAGTAGCCATAAATAGATGTAAGTAGGTGTTGTACCTGATGTGTAAATGTATGATAAAATTCAAACTAGCTATTAGACAAGTTTAATGTGTACATACAATTTAGTTTAATGACACATTGTCTGAAAATAAGAACAGTTTTACTGGTGTACCATGTGTTCGTGCGAACACCACTCGCCGATGCCGATGTGTAAAGCACTGCTCCTCATCCTTCCTAATATTATAAATGCGAAAGTAACTCTGTTTGTCTGTCTCAATTTCACGCCTAAACTACTAAACCGATTTAAATGAAATTTAGTACACAAATAGTCTAGACCCTGAGGAAAAACGTAGGTAGCCTACGTTTTTAATGCAAAAAAATGGTTGCAAAGGGTTAAAAAGAGAGATACAAGTTTGTATGGAATAATCATGATTTTTAAAGCTAGAAATATGAAACTTATTTTTTAGGCTATTGAAAAAATGTTATCCTTAAGGGGGTAAAGTGAAAATTTTTATGCAAATTCGTATTTTTTGGAGCTAGAACGATGAAACTTTTTTATTTGGCTTTTATTGTGTTAGATTATTAAATATTTTTTCATTATTTGGTCAAGGTCACTGTTTTACGCGGACGACGTCGCGGGCACTGCCTATTTTAAATATTGTTGGTGACAGTCTACAATTACACCGAAGTTTTGTTTTATCTCAGAGGAGTAAGATCCCGACAAATGGTTCGTTGAGCCGGAATAATGTTAGAATTGATCATCGCCATATATAATGTTCCATAATTATTTAATTAGTAAATAATGATGGAGTATTATTATATGAAATATATATATATATATATATATATATATATATATATATATATATATATATATATAATATTAGTATATTATTTTTAATTCGAGTTTTGCTATTCAAATATACGATAGTAAACCTCTAATAATATTTTTGCATTTATAAATAAAGATATCATCTAGACCGTTAATTCCGATATTGTAGTCAGAGACATTATCATATGTCATAATTATAAAAATAGTATTAAGGTAAGCCTGAAGTAAATAAAATAAGTCGCTTTGTGGTGATAGCAACACATGCCCATATTTCGTTGTTATATTTGAAACCCACATGACAGGATAAAGCCTACAGTCGTCTTTAGACTTAGTTTAGTTTATTACCGGTATTTTCATCACCAAGAACATTAGAATCAGAATCAGAAATATAAATTAACACACTATTTTTTTGTTGAAAACCAGATTTGAAGTCATTATTTCTCAGTCTTATTACTTTATAAATTCTTTTTAATACACTTCAATAATTTTTTTATCTTAAAATGTCAACTTTAAAATTCAAAATATCGATTCTTATGCAGCACCTGGCACCAATTAAATATAGATTTTAATACTCTCGCTCGCTGGTACTAGCGAGATGGAAATTCAATTGTACGTACAGCCAGATGTTAAGTCGATTTTAATTATTAATGTATATGTAAAAGGTATACCAGTTTCTCAATTACATAATGCAGTTGCTAACAATTCTTATTCGAAACACATTAAAATATATTGTTTTGTGATTATATGTGAATCATGTAACAACTATAATTTTCAAATATTTATGCCATTATAAACCTATGAATTTAAACTAAACTACGTTAAAATAACTTATTTTGTTATTTCTTTCATTTATTTTTAAATTTACAACTTAGAGTACCATGTTCTGTATTGTACTTTACCGTTTATAAAGTACAGAGCATGGTACTCTACAAAACTCTACTTTACAGTTCGTTATATGACTTAATAATATTATACTTTAAAAAATGACTTATTTTTTTTTTAGTAGCGGGCAGCTAGCTTTGAATCTGTACTTATATAATATTATAAAAGAGTATCCGTGTGTCTTTTACTCCTAAAATATATTTAAAAAAAAATTACGAAATAAAATTAATTAATATTTTATTTTATCTAAAAATAAATAGAGGTAGTAAGTGCTAATAAGTAAATAAATGTACTAATAAAATTTTAAAAGCAGTAAAATATAAAACAATTCTGTTATATAATACTAAAGGCAATTAAAACTATCTCAAATTCTCAAACTCTTTTCATATATATAAATTAGTCTGTATATTTTACATTAAACCACAATATACTCCAATAGAGGAAAGGCGATAATATGTACATTTACGACAGTGAAAAATATAACTTATTTGCATATTAAATGATATAGTAAATAAACATAAAGAGGACATTGCCAGGCGTAGACAACCATTTTAGACCATTCGGTCCTTTATAGAATACGGTTGGGTATAATTCTTATCGTATATTATTATATTTTGTGTTGTTTAGGAATTTTACCTTTTGTAGATCTGAATAGAGTACACATATTCTGATAAATAGGTATTTTTGTATCAGAATAAAATATAATTAGAGAGTCTAATAAAATCTTTGTAACTCGAGTTCAAACCCTAACGCTTACGGTAATTATAATCAAAATCCATTCCTTATTTATTACACGTGATTTATAATTCTTTTATAGCTACATATATTTATTCCAAAATTGAATATATTTATTCCAAAATTTACAGATTTCTTTTATATCTTCGTAAAATTTCAATTACATGGCACAGAGGCGTGACTTCTTGGTCCTCCGAAATGATAAGTCATCTGGTGCTATTCTCTTACATAGAGACGGTTATCATTTACCATCAATTGAGCCTATAGCTATGGTATTACAGTTACATAAAAATTACTTCGATGATTCTCAAGTACAAGCGTTGATATCAGTTTGTAGTCAAATTCCGCAAATCCAATCGCATTTGGTTACTTTACTGAAACTTCATAATTTCATCATGATATCATAATTTCTCACTATACACGGTATTTGGTAGAGAAATATTTCATTTAATAATAAAAAATGTTCAATTGTTTTGCGCAAATCATGTATTTATTTATTAGAAATCCGTTCAGTTAAAATAACGAATCTTACGAAAAATATATTTGAAATTATTTAACAATTGCATATTATTTATTTATTAATAAATAAAATAACCTGGCAAAATTATAAAAATATACCCCTTCATATAGGACTAGTTCAAAGTCTACAAGCAGTTATCTCTATAAGTTATCAAAAAAATAATGTAAAATAAAATATGACTGTTTCCTCACTAGAGGTACAATTCTCTTCCGCCAACAGATTCCCTCAATAAATATGCTAAGGGCTTGGTGATTGCAAGATAAGAAAAGGGAAAAAAAAATCGTTATTTAAAATGTATATACAACCTTTGCTTAGTTTGGAACTAGATGGCACTGTGTCCCATTTTGTAATATATTGATCTTACGTGAAAATGCTGTATATTGCTACTACATATTCCTATACTATTTGTGAGCTGAGTCTCACAGCATTCAATAGATGCTGAAAAGATATTGCTGTAAGTTCGACGGCCAGAGTTCTCAAGGGGTTACTCATTGCCACCTAGACAGAGCAAGCTCTTGTGTGGCCATAGTGGTAAAATATATATGTACTTGTCTTGACTAAAATGGGAGTCGAGTTCAAATGTAAAGTTTAAATATATTAAACTAATACCTACATGAAATTCTCGACATTCCATGTGATAAAGATAGTGTTTGTATACTATGACAATAGTATTAGAGCTTAATTTTAAGTCCTTACTTTGGGTAAAAAAATTTAGAAGTACTCTAACATTATACTCGAATTAATACTTAAAATTTTATTATTAAAGATATGCCATTAAATAGATATCAAAGAAACGCAAACGGCTCATAGAAAATATTGTTCTACACACTTTGTTATTGTTTGACATGTTTCATTATTAACTGTAAAGTAACAATTCTAATTTGCACGCCTTCTATCGATGTTCAAACAAATAAACAATTTGTCTACTAAAAGTTAGAGTAGAGTATGTCCTTCTTTAAGCACCTAACTATAGATATAGATAGAATTTCATCGAATAAGATTAAGACTGTTAAAAATACTAAACAAATATTTAGTTTTGTACTTATATACTACTTACATATTAGCTGTGCTCGCGATTTTAACTCCGTCAAATTTATAGCCTGTATGTTATTCTGATGGATAAGCTATATTGTTGTAATATTTCATTAAAATCGATTCAGTAGTTTTTACTTGAAAAAAAAAACCTCCATTCATCCATCAATTCATCTACTCTTACAAACTTCCGCGTTTATAATAATAGTAAGGTTTTCTACTGATTTTGTTCTCAGCCAAACTGCTGCACAAGATGTGAATCTTCAGGGTCATGGAGGTGGAGGAGTGTTACAACTGCAGTCTCTATGTGGTCTTCAATGAGAGTCTCCCCTACAACTTCACTGCCAATGTCACCACCATTAACAAATTCTACTTCTATCAGGTAAAATATCATATCGTTTTCCAAATTAGTAACACTATAAATTAAAGTCAAGTGTAAAAGTAAACAAGCTTTTACAAATATTACACATTTATTTATTAATATTTTTTAAACATACCACACTCTGCAGTCAACATTATTTATATATTTAATTATCTTTACATATAAAAAGTAATTACATTTGAATACCATTGGAGCCTATTAAGATTGTATGCAGCATTTTTTTAATAATTGTTAATGGAATGGTGAACGCCTGTGCTAACGGTTTATGATGACGGAAAACCAGTGGAGGATGAGAATAAGGTTCAGAACAATTAGCCAATAGTGGTGACTTCACTAGAAATTACAACAATGCTTTCCAAAAGAGCCAGTGTAAAGATCTAACAGATATGGCACATTGCTAGGATCATTACATACATACGAGGAGGAATACAATTATTAGTAATAGGGACTTAGAACGTACCACCAATTCTCTGCTCCTTCATGGGTAGCATTATACCATTATTCCTACTAAACAATTAACTACATTAATAATAATAATTGTTTATTATGTACACTGGTAACTTTGATGTTAAACTTAAAACTAACACTCGAGGTTAAACACCGTTATTAGCTAATATTATTATTTGAATACTATTAATAGTTTAGGTAAATAGATAGATAGATATGCTTAAATTTGCATTATATGGTAAAAGTTAATAGTTACATTAAAATATCAATCATTACATCTATCTACGGCGGCAATAAGGCGGCCAATTGCTAAAAACCAGAAAAGAAAGATTTGTTTATACCTATGTATACACACATGTGTGTGTATGACGAAGTGCTGACAGAATCACTTGTGCTGCTTATCCATAATACATTACTTAAAATATGTTTTTTATAATATTTTGGTGAGTTTTTTATATGTAGTTTCTAATTGACTCGCACACAAAAGAATAAAAAAACAATTGTCGTTTAAGGTTCTATTACGTTGATCAAGTTATTATTGTTATGTTACTTACTTCCACCTATACACAGCGAACAGTTATATTTTTAATATATATATATATATCGAATGTGCCTTATAAAAGTGTCATACAATAAATCATTCTAAAAGAACTGTGATTATACTAGACGTTTTACAATTTTAGGATCCAAGTTAATTGCGCGCGAGAATCGTACTGAAGTATGGGTCTAGACACGCTCCGTATTCTAATCTCGTTTCAGCATGTAGCCTGAGAAATAAGAAAACAGCGGTTTGTTAAATTACATTCTTCTGTTAAATGAGGCATAATAGTGTATTTTTTCATTGACTTCAGAATTAAAGATAATTTAGGTACGACTATTATTAAAACTTACTTTAAACATGACTATATAGTACAGTTATATAAACTGCAGCACATTATTTCATTGTACTTTATTTCTGCCGAGGTTTTCTCACGAGACTATACGTTTTTTCAAAAAAGGTATATTAAGGTTTCTTAAGGGTCGGCAACGCACACGCTGGTATCTCAGGCGTCCATGGGCTACTGTAACCATTTACCATCAGATAGACTGTATGCTTGTTTGGCACCATCGTAATATAAAAAAACTCATAATTAAAAATCAGGCACAAATTGAAATAAACAGAGTAAAAATTCAATGTATTTTGTACTATCATTATGTTTTTTATATTTTCGATTACTATAATAATAATTGGTATTCTGTAAGTTTATTCGTCAAAAAATGCCATTGCTTATGTCTTGTACACCAGACTCCTGTAGCGCAATTTAGTTATTTAAAACATATACATAGCCGTCTAAATTTATATTATGGATCTCATTAAAAGGGGTTTAGGACGACATTTTAGTTGTAATATGCCCTTTAAATCTCTTGATAAGTTTAAGCAATTCATAACAACACTACATTGGATAACGTTGAGAATGTACAACACAACACAAAAAAAAGAAACTTATATCCGGACCAAGGACTAAATATATATTTTTAAATAGACTTTTCATGTACTAAGACTGTGTTTATTTGATAGAAAGTTGTTATTCAAAAACGAGCATCGAACTCTAGTCAAGTAAGAGACAAGTTGGGCGTCCCCAGGATGTAGCTTTTATGCAAATCATGAAGTATATAAGTAAACTAGTAATCAATACCACGAATAATTTCAATTACACATACCTATTTTGTCCTAAATAATATACTCTTACTAAGCGGAGCTTGTACTACAGTCGACTTTAAGAAAACTTACATGAAAATACATATAAATTACATGAAAATCACTATGATATGTACAGAATTAATATTTATGGCAGTTGAAGATGTTTATCTCAAAAGTTGACGCAGTTAATAGTGTACAATTGAAACGCGATATTAACAAAATGTATTATACGTTCGTGTACATTGTAACAAAGGACTGACTTGTAATATCACTTCCACTTTTCGTTACACCATAATCTAGAAAGCAGGTCGTTTGACGGAAACGTACACATTATCTTGAACCAAATAATAGGAGTCTTCACTTCGTATAATGTTGTATTTTCACGATATTGTTATAGATACTTATATAAAGTAGAACAATAGTTATTTTTGGAAGAGGAAATGGGAAATTTTAATAATAATATTAATGCTTTATTTGTATATCTCACTGATATTATAAACGCAGGTATAGTTGAATGGATGAATGTTTGTTACTCTTTCTTTTGTTACGCAGAAACTAGTGAATAAATTTGAAACCTTACAGTAATATAAATCACAATGACACAGGCTATAATTTCAAAAGGTATATATAAATTGGGCGAAATATAATGATAAATGTCAAGTAAATGTAATGCAGATGAAGTTGCGCAGCAAGTAGGTACAATATAAATTACAACACTTAAAGCAAAAGGAGGAAAATATAACAATAAAAATTAACACTAGATAACTTACTGGTAGAAAGTTGTATAACCTATTGTGAGGACCCTGATAAGCTAAACTAGTTATTAGACCTGTGCTATGGGTTATCAGTGCTATCATGTAATGTGTACTGTAAATTAAATTTGTTACCAGTTTAACTATATAACAATATGGTTTAATTATAGTCTATCTAGTCTCAAGGTAAACAGTGCTTGAGTTACAGGCACTAGACAATTTATATAAACACTTAAATATTTTTTTACAAAAACATAATATAAATAGAAATCAACAATATCAATACGAACAATGGTCAAAGCCGGAATTGTGTCATTGTAAATAAATAGTATTTAAATCACTTAGTCTTTAAAAGTTATTTATAAGAATACCAGTATGAATACTTTGTATACTTATATTTCTAAAGAGAGAATAAATGGAAATTGTTCAATAATTTTAAAACTACTTTTTTGTTAATTGTGTCACTTGAAACAGACTTGCTAAATACTTTCCCATTTGAAAATAATATAGATAAAATAATAACAGTTCAACTGAAAAACGTCACTTGAACTGTTATTATTTTATCTCTATGGTCGGTACGTCCCGTGGTAATAGAATAAGTAAATGCAAATAATGGAATAAAGTGTCGTCAGTTTATTTTATTTTGCAAGCAGTAGCACTTCAGAACGATATAATACATTTTATCACTTATAAGTAGCAAACAGAATATACAAAAATGCACCTCATGCACCGAGGCAGACTTTGTGCGAAGTCGTCTGTGTACCTCTGTCTAACTAATTTCAGTAGCAATTTGCTATGTAACTTGCTTTTTATGCTGTGTTTTGGAGAAGGGATTGGAAGAACATGATTTGGAGTTCGATGACGTAGGCTTTTTTTTTCGAGGGGAAATATTGCATACAGAAAAATCCTGCACCTTGGACGAAATAGTGTACACGAGACTCCAGTGCCGTTATCGCGGCGAGAGGACCACCGAGGGATTTTAGTGGGCAAGAATCCCAGAGTATTGGTACGTACCCTTTCATAAAACGGGGTGCCTTTATGAAGAAGTACGGATGCTGGTATCTCGAGTACAGTGTTTTGTCCGAGACGCCGGTCGTGATCACAGAAGGAACAGCCTCCGATTGTAGGCGCAAGGATAACTCTGCGACCTGGCTGGATTCCTCCACGGACCTTATGAGAACTTTGAAATTTTTATCATCTCAATTATCATGAGACATACAACATACAATATACAATAAGAGATATACAATATTTTTATATTATAAACTGTAATTATTTAAAATAAAAATTTGTTATTACAAAGTAAAAACACCTTTTTTTCCTTTTTTATTTTTGTGCATTATAAAACCACAATCTAAATGCAGTGCAAAAATATCTATGTATACTTATAAAGTTGTTTCTCCAGACTTTAATGGGCAGTCTAGAGAAACAACTTTATAACACATCCAAAAACTGCTAAGACTAGAAATCTGAAATTTAAATCATCATACATTGCGTTTCTGTTTTTGAGTAACAATATCTATGTCCGTTCTCATAATATCGTTTATATATATACATATATCAGATATCATGAAAATCCATTCTGTTGTTTATTTGTGAAAATGTAACCAACAGACAGACACTTCTTAAACGTACACGATTTATCCACTTTAAATTAGATTTAAAAGTGTTGACTCGCAGGGAAATCCGCGGGAAACATCTAGGAATTATGAATTTTAAATCTCTCGTTTAAAATTTGCCGTCTATCATTTTTGTTGACACTGAATGCAAATGAAATTATTGATAATGTTGAAACAATAGGATCAATCATTCGGAAAATGGACTATTGATTGTCTGTCCCATCCTTTTAATAAATAATTGATAAATCTGTGTAATTTATTCATTGTCAAAACTAAAATAGAGTGATACATCAATGTTCGTAAGAATAATTGACTAATTTATCTAATTCACCATTGGTGATTTAAACATAATAGATTTTTTTTCGGACTACTCTAATGCAGTTGCTGCTACAGCTGACCTTTACAGCTTCACCGGACGATGATTGGAATTGTTTATAAGTTAAAGATCAACCTGTTGAAAATTAGCAAAATGCGCATAATTAGAATTTAAACTTGTTATATTAGGTATGTTATACATACGTATAATGAAAGGTCAAATTAGCACTATTATAATTAAATATCTTCACCTAATATTCACCTAATATGGACCCCACCACATTTATTGAAAATAGCACATGAATTAACCTCTAACAAATTTTGAAGTAAAAGGAAATTATACTGTAAATTGTAGTAAATTGTAACAGTTTTTATTACATATTCCTGCTATCAGCTAAGATGTGTATATGTACTGACTATTTTTATATTCAATTTTACTATGATTTGATAGTAATTTGAACGGGTAGGAAATTATACATTTTCTTACATGTTTGCGAGGGCGATGCTCTTCTACCCACCCTCGAAACTGCAGCTGACTTTAACCACAGATAACATAGTATTCTTTAACTAAGCTTCATAACACACCTTAGAAGTTTTCGACAACCAAGAGGAAATATTTGATGAAAAAGGCCTCAGCCTCGAGGATTATTTGGTTGTAGGATTCAATTAAGCAATAAAATTAATGAATAAGAGGCAGGACAACTTAGTCCAATGAAATGGCAACGTAGTATCACAGGTGTAATACAATAACGTGATGTGCTGTTCTTGTATATAGATGACAGTTACCGTTAGCATCAGATGAACTTGATTGTTTTTGTTATTGTGCTATTCCAAATATATATCCCCTTAGGTTTTTAAAGTTACTTATATTTACTCCGTTGTACACGTATTCTGTCAATTTCCATCCACTATCATGTAGTTTCAACCTTATTTAATACTTTTTTTTCAATAAACATACAATGTTTAGAGTATGAGCATCGCAATTTATTTATTCTACATCACATATACATTCGGTCGGGGGCTCGATGTTCTGATAGATGTTAAACCTATTTCTCATAATAATTTATTGTAATAGTAATTTTATGCATTTATTATTTTATGTATTATCAAAAATACTATATGTATTTTTTGTCAGCCATGTTTGTGAGCCATGCTAATGATGTTTATATAATCAGACAGCTCAGGTGGCGGTGCTATGGATCCTGCTGGTGGCGATCGTAGCAGGCAATGCGACCGTGGTGTTGGCACTGCTGCTCACCAAATCCAGAAAAAGCAGGATGAACTTTTTCATCATGCAGTTAGCTATATCTGGTAAATTCGAATAAGTATATTCTTGTACATTTTATTAAGATGTAGACTATTTGTCACGATAATAGAGGCATTGGAATATAATTAATATTTATTGAAATATATTTAATAAATTAATTTTGAATAATAACACTATATTCTTTATTCTACCGCCACATTCTCAATTATTTTAATTAAACCTATAAGAAACTTACTTTGTTTCTTTTAAAAAAACAGTAAAATGTTACTATTATTTAATAAATAAAAATACTTCATTATTTAATAAATATTTTACAAGTTTATTTATACTATCTGTACATGTACTATGTTTAATTAAAAGTTATTAAAATTAACTTTCTTGTGAATGTAATATATTTATAGTTTTTATAGGATTGCATTAAAGTTTATGAGAGTCATATACTATTGATTTTGTTGCATTTTTTATTGTTGTAGCTTTACTTCGTCTCATTTGTATAAATTTACTCATAACTTATTCAGTCAGATGCCTTACTTTTTGTAATAAACAATCGCTTGTTTCAGATTTATTAGTGGGTCTTATAAGTGTACTTCCAGATTTAGTTCAACGTATAACAATCACTTGGCTTGCAGGTTCAATAGCTTGCAAGATGATGAAATATTTACAGGTAAATTTATGATAATTAATTATTATATATTAATATACAATGAGTTTATACATACTACAGAAATAAAGGGATATAAAGGCATTTTATTACTATTATTGAGTTCCCGTATTGCAAAAGAAATTGATAAGCCGCTCGTAGATGGTAGGCAAATATGCCTTCACTTACCTTCACTCCCCATTAGAGTAAGAATAAGTAAGACACTAACTAATCGTGATTTTTATTTAATAAATCTAATCAGTGGATTCCACGTATTAGACAGTGCATAATTTCGTAATCTTTATACTATTTTATCCTCCTCAGGATTCCTTATTATTTCATTGTGTATGTCCAAATAATAACCATGTTAAATTAAGAAATATATACATGACGTGTAATAATCTAAAATAATGAATAATAAGATCCCAAATAAGATTATATTATGTTTTCTTTGTTGCAGGGTGTAGTCACATATTCATCTACATATGTATTGGTAGCGCTGAGTATAGACAGATGTGATGCCATTACGCATCCAATGAATTTTACAGGAAGCTGTAAGTATCATTGTGTCTTCCTTTTAACACCATTAAGGGTATTAAACTAAATCAGATTAGTTTTAATTTGCTCCATTTTCCCACATTTGTATTTTTCCCGTGACCTTTTCTCACAATACTTTTCAAAGTAAATCCCTTAGATTTATTTTACTGTCGAACTTTATGGGTTGGAAATACTTGTAAATGCCTCCATAAATACAGTGACGTAACATTTGTGGATAAGACGAAATTATTCATAAAGATTTTCTTCTTTACAGGGCGACGGGCGCGCGCTCTCATTTTAGTCGCCTGGTTTATTAGTTTTTTATTCTGTGTTCCCATGTTATTCCTGTTTGATGAAGCTGATGTAGGTGAGTATATATATTAAATTTTAATACACATTAGTTAAAATACTAAATCATTATTTAAAAGATATGTATATCTACAAATATAATTGTAAATAGTACTTTTTCAGTATACTTACAAAATTAATGTATAACTTTATGTGCTTTATTAAGTAAGTTAAACTTATCTTTCTATATATATATTTTGTTTGTTGCTGTGTTCTGTATCTTTATATAACCAATGAAGTAACATAACACCGTACCACTACTTAATTATTTAAAAATACTAATTCCTCCTAAAACTTTGTTTAACTAATACATTATTTTCTCTACATAAGCTGTTTATATATATAAAAAAATAACAACACTAAACTGTTATTTTTTTTTACGTTGTCCTCCTCTACTGGTACACCACCACCACCAGTAGAGGATGACAAGATGAACATGAGGTCAGGTCAAAAAGCCTATTGTGACAAATTCACAAGGAATTTATTATAATGGTTTCCACGGGGAACCACGTGGAGGTCAACCATGGTACATTTCTAGCTGTGGGGTCAGGCGACCTCATTACTGACAGTCCTCCAATCTGATTACTGAAAATCCAATATTATCCAAGAGCAGGGACTCTTGCATAATATTATCATGTTAAATGTCTAGTTTCGATGATGTGCATCATTGTAATTTACTATTAATTATATGTGTGTTAGTATGTATTATGTTATGTGTATAATTCTAAATCACAAATATAGGTATTATCCAATGCTGGTCGGGTATAAGTAAGCTGCAATGGCGGATATGGATGACGAGCGTGTTCGTTTCATTATTCGTGGTACCAGCCGTAACCATTGCCGCTTGCTACGGTGTTATTGTGGTCACTATACGACAGAAGAGTAACAGGGTGCTGGGGAGAAGGGCCACTGCCACCAGACAATGTAAGTGGATAAACTTTATATATAAAAATTACGTGTCACATAGTTTATCCGCGATGGACTTCTAAACTACTGAATCGATTGCAAGTTTGATTTACAGATTGCGTGCATGTTTATCCAACTTTAAAGATATTTTTTAAAAAGATCGAGGATTTATTTTTAATAAATCTTTAAGACCGTACCTTTATAAACGATTCCAGAAGAATATCAGAAATATTTTATTTTATCAAAATGGTAAATAAGTCGACGGTCCGCCTGACTACAGACTGTCAATTTCGAGGACAAAGCTGTCATTCCGTACCCACAAATTTCACTGCCATTCTCGTATCTCACTAATGAACCGAAAAAAAACATATACACATAAGTACAATTAAATATTATCTATACAAATCAACAATGACTGTTCAGATGCGTTTTATTATTATGTAGTTTCATATTTTTCGTTAAGATCTATTCAGGCGTTTATTCTTGATGTGGTAAAAAACGAACCCATCCATTTCATATTAGTACGGATTAAATATCTCCAGGTGTATGGATGATAATATTATATAGTAATTCATAATCTCGTATACAAGGATACAAGGAAAATAATATGTGTAAGAAAACATTACAACATTAATAATAGAATAAGAATCTCTCGATTTACTTGTGAATACACGAGTATAAAAACTGAGAATGGTGGGGCATTCGACCAAATTAGGGGGATCGTGACCCGACTGCCGATGTTCGGGTCGAGTGAAATATGGAAACAGGAACTACTGAGATCGTCCGTGATTTTATGCGTTCGCACCACAGAGTAGTACATTATAGACAGAGTGTAAGCCTGTTGGTTTTTGTACTTTTATGTTGTATTGTGCTTATACAAATTATGTTGATTATGTATTTATTAACAACAAAAAAAATCTATTCGTAGTAATTTTATTCAATAGTTTGTGTGATATATAATAGATAAAGTAACCTTACCTTCATACCATTATTTGGGATCGATACCTATGCTACATTTTATGATAATTTATTTCAGAATGGGGCAAAACCGTAAAAAAACATTTAAATTTACTTTAGCATTAATAGTATAACTACTATTTTATTAACTGATAAATCTACTAATTACCTTAGACTTCCCCAGCCCCTGCACAGAATTCATTCATTCGTATGCTATTTTATGGCTTTCTAGATTACTTTTTGCGATAAAATATAGCCTATATCCGTTCTCGCGGTACAATCTATCTTCATGTAAAACTTCATTAAGATCATTTTAACCATGTAGTTATGAAAAGGCAACAAATAGCAAATTAATAAATACTATTTAGCATTTATAGTCCTGGGTATGTATATATTGTATTTCTGTCCAAATTTCCAGAATGAGCTCTGGCTGATAAGCTTCCACTCTGTATGCGTGTAATCCTGTGTACTCTACCCGCCATTGAGATTTGGGTTGTTTTATTAAAATGCCATATTCTATATTACGACGTGTAAATGTCGCAATAAATTGAGAATCTTCAAGTAAAATTTGATAAAATACATAATATTTGCAAGAGCCCATATTGAAAGTTGTCTAAACTAATATTGTAAAGAGGGAAGATTTATTTTTTTATTTGTAATGGATTCTCTTAAAACTGTAATTGATTTTTTAAATGTCGTCTATCTCGTTTTAATAATTGTCTGTGGTCGGTGGTACCTTAGTCTCTCCTATTTCAGCAGCAAAGCAGCTAACATTGCAAGCTGTTTTGGTTAAAGGGTGAAATGAGACCATGAAATTTTAATATAAAAGACATGGCATTTTAACGTTACGAAATAATGACAAGATAACTTGATATTCGTAGCGTTGTTGTCTATAGACGATTCTCACTATTATTACGTGGGCCGTTTGTTTGTCATTAAAATCACATAGAAAATCTTAATACTAATAGTAAATAATAAAGTCTGTAATAAAGTAAAAGACATAATGTTTTAATTAATATTTGGTACAAAATTTTTAATATATCTACCATCTAGTAAGGCTAACTACGATTGAGAACACTGCTAACAAACTCTACTGGTATATTTTTAATTTTCTACTAGTATATGTCTAATATATTTAATACATTGTAAATCCCGTCCCTGAACAACGAACGCCATACACAGTTGTCACCTAAATGATCGTTTTGTAGTAAATTCAATAGATTTTCCTTAGATAATAGGTTTTTTTTAATTAAAAATGTATCCACCGTACAAGGGTATGCTGTATAACCTAACATGATGACATGCAGTATACGAAAACAAAGGATTAAATTAATAATCAAGTACAGTCCAATCAATCAATTAATTATATGATATCCATTAGGCACTACCCACAATAACCTGTCATAAACATATTGAATGTGTTTTCCCGCACAACCGATACATTTATTACCTTATAGAGGTCCCCATTGAAGCAGTGTAGGGGTTAACCGCTCATAAAATGAAAACCTAACCCTATTATTATGTAAAATAGTATTGAAATATAACCCTGTATCTATAAACATGAAATTGGGTCAGTAGGCTTAAATCTGAACAGCGGATCCAAAAATTAAAGCCACTTTTTATCCTCTTTCCATGAAATTAAATAAATAATATTAAAAAATATTCGGCACTACATACTTAATTTGGAAATTTATTTTGTTTTGGACAGCTAATTTAATTAAGAAGGTTATTTATTACTAAATTACGTTACACTACGACCAATAGAAGCGGAACTGCAATTAAGATATACATATAACGTCAAAATAATTATATCAATCTCATATAATTATTTTAATTTTGGAACTGTCATTAAAAATAAAAATATTCTTAGAAAACCTGGTGGTTATATTCACATTTGACCAACTATAGAACTTTGTTCTTTACTGAAGCAGAACTGAAAACTCTTTTAGTTTCTGCTGTTACTGTTGGTATTAATGTTATTTAATAATTTATTAATTTAATAATAATTAGATTTTATGTGTAATAGCCATATATATCTCCCTCTTTCTCTTATAATAAATTGATTTATTAACATATTTGTGATTTCATTAAGAACAGTGAAATCACAAAACATGTGTGAAATAATAATTTCATTCTATAACCAGAACGACCACGAACTGTAAAGAAAGCTGCTTAGCGGCTGAAATAGGTGGAGACAGAGGAACCCAATAAGACCACTCAATACAAACTCACTATAATAGTCATTGTTACTGAAAAAATAACTATTGATATCTAATAAGTATTGCCTTTCAGATAGTGACGATCTGGATAGTAGGCGCGCGAGCAGCCGCGGCATCATACCCAAGGCAAAAATAAAAACTGTGAAGATGACATTTGTTATTGTTTTTGGTAAGTAATATTTAATTATTAGTGTTTAATACTACACTACTACTATTTGACATACGACTACTATTATACTCAAATATTATAAAATAGTAGTAGAATACAATATTTTTATTGCACGCGTTAGGATTTACGACCAAATCTAAGAAAAAAGAAATGAACAGGTTCAGTGAATATTATTTCTCACATAGCCTCTTAATACTCGTATTATTTTGAAAAACAAGTGAAGGACATCCAATGGTTAATGGTTCTATATGATTTCTCTACACAATTTTTTACGACATAAAAATATTTATAAAGCACTTTTAGTTCTTAATAGCAGTGAGTGATTTTAAGATGCTAAATGGTTTGGGACATTTAGCATCTTTCACTAAGAAAAATTACACTGTATTGAATAATTTCAAGTATCTTAAGAATTAGAAATATTAAGATTTACCTATTTCTTTGGTGGCACCTACTGAAATAGTCACATAAATGAATTTTGAACTGTACATAGTATTAAGTTATGAAAGCAGAAAAAAATCTATACTTTATTAAAAAACCTTTGTGCGTCTAATATCTTATATTACAAAAATATACGAATTATTATAGCATGATAAAAGAGCCTTAATGACGTTTCGATCACAGGGAACTAGTAAATGTTATTTCCGAAATGTCGGCCCCGTGCATGCATGTTGTAAGTTTTTCAAAGAATAATATTTTTAATAGCGTGTCAGAACATTCTTGTTAAATCATTCAAACTGTCAACGTAACACGGTAGTACAAACAACACTCTAACTGACATCTCTGTCAACAGAATTGTGGAAAAAAATACAACTAAGCGTTTAAAAGCAAAGCCATTACATGACTCACCCTGTTTTTGTAAATGTACATTAAAATAAAATCGTTGATTATTTTTAACGGGTTCAAGCTTCATTAAACACATAATACAGTAACGATTCTTGGCAGCATCGCTGTCGTCTTTATTTTTAAGACTTGATGGAAAATGTAACCGATTGTGACTTAGTTTTTATCTATATATCGAGGAACTTTATATATTAATTATAAATAATGTTAAGAAAGGAGGACTTATCTCTAAAAGAGCTCTCTTCCAGTCAACACAATATAATTTATATTTATATATTATATAGGTATAAGTATAATGTTTCATAGGAACATCATTTTTTAATAAATACATATATAGTTAGCATAAATTACCAGTATTTTCTCACTGACACGCATTATTCTTCTCACGTTGATATGATAATATAGAGGGCGAAAGTGTCCCGCGACCGGAATGTAAATTTTTCACGATTTTCTATAGTAATTGATATTATGTCTGTCTATTAACCGAACATGAATACACAAAACTGGCTATAGTTCATTATAATTTTATGACTTGAAACTTATACACAAATAAAAGACTGTATACTGTTAGTAAAGCAATATGAAATGTATAATATAAATATGGTCCAAAGAGTCGAATTGTTTTTTTTATTTACCTTCGTCAAATATTATTAAATTTACAATAATAATCACTTAAGAAACCGTCGCGTATCGTAATCATTCTAGCATTCTATTCATTCATTGCTTATTTCTCTCTTACACCAATTCAATTCAATACAAAATTCATACAACATTCATTTAATACAGTCGGTCCATTATAATATATTACATTCCGCACCAATACCACAAATATATATATATATATATATGCAAATAATACACACATACCTTTTAACTTTATGAATGAAAACTTTTAAAATCACTTAAAAGTCATGATTATTTTGTGTAAGTAAGTCAGTATACATATACATATATTTATAATATATATGTATATGTCCATACGTACACCAAACATATGCAATTAGCTTGCACTAACTTTCATAATAATGTTTCAGTTATTTTAACTGTAAATACGGATCTTACACATAATAGGTACGCAATAAAATCTTAAGATATAAGTCGATCTAAGCTCTACCATAACAATAAAATAGAAAGAGGTCAACAAGACTTAAAAGTAGAATTACTAACGTCATAGGACCAAACTCCTTATACAATAAAATAGGTTTACGATCACATCTATCATGTGTAACTGAACGTAATAGTTGTTCTTATTGCTTTCTCACTTTTCACATAAAATCTTCATAAACGATTCGAGAAGTACTTGATGACATAATAATAATTACAATGATAACACAAAATTGTGTCAACGCATAAGTTTTCTACCTAAATAAGATATTATTGTTGCATCTTATATACATTTTCGGACTCGGTAGTTTAGCAGTTTAGAATACCGCCTTACTTCCGATGGTCGTGGTATTGGTTCGATTCCTCGCACAGTACAAACATTTATATTTATGAGTATGATTATTTGTATTCATTTAGGTATTTCCTATGTATAATATATGTAAATGTATTTATAAAAATTTTATTAAAGTTATTGTGTTAGTCGTCTAGTACCCATAACACAAGTTCTGCTTATCTTGGAACTAGATGGCGCTGTATGTATTGTCCATGGATATAGCACACCGTTTTACGTCCGATGGTCGCGGGTTCGATTCCTCGCACGGCATAAACATTTGTATTCATGTTTGTATCGGTCTGGGTGTTTTCTATGTATAATATGTTTGTATTTACGAAAAAAATATATATCTATGTACTTGTATCAGTTATCTAGTACCCGTAACACAAGCTTTAGCTAGCTTAACTTGGGACTAGATGGCGCTGTGTGAATTGTCCTGAGATTATTATTATTATTATATTATATATTGTCTTTCTGAAAAACTAATATATTAAGCCTCTGTGTTCTGTAATTTAACTGTCATGTCTCAGCCTGCAAACCGAAACACAGTTTACAATTCAAGCTGCGTTACTTTATAAAAAGTAAGAAGTAGGTCTATCTCAGTAGGATAATATAGTAATATAGTGTAATAACAATATCGAATAAATTAGTAATGCCCAATATAGATATAGTATCATAACACAAACTCTATGTCTTAATTATGTAGACTTAACTGAATTACTAAGTTTAAAAAAAAAGAAGAATCGCCTTTAATGGTTCTTCATTTGGATTTTCATTATGGACATTAATAAAGGATTCATACTGTAGTATGAATCCTTTATTAATAAAACCTGTAGGTTTGCATAAATAAATTTAAAAGGATAAGGCTCACGTACTTTGTGTATTGTATCTGGTGTTGTGAAATAAACTATTTGTTTACGTGTAATATTAAATCGGCCTTTAAATTAAAAAAATTCTACACATATTAATCCCGTTTGCCATTGCCGATTTAGGCGTTTTTATTTATCGAAATCTTCAACAAGAAAACATCACGAAAGGTTAGGATTAAAATCCTACTTCAAATTGTATTAACACAAATGTAGGGTTAACAAAACTTAAAATCTATATTAAAAAGTTAATATGTCATTACGATAAAGATAGTATATATATAGATTGTTATAGCAAGTATTTATGTACATATATATTATTGTTATGTAAGCATATTACTATTGACATATATACCTAAGTTAAGTAAATACAAATAGTATAACCTTTTCCCATTACTGCCCTTCAATCGCTTTCTGTTTTTACCCAATGTACATTATTTTATATAGTGCAATAAAGGATAAATAAATAAATAAAATAAATAGTAGCAGGTTCTTTGGACTTAGACTGTCCAATTTAGGTAGCAAAACTAAAGCTTTCACGGGTAATTTCCGCTACAAAGCAGCAAAATGGTAGCTAGTACTACATACCCTGAGGCAGTTATACACTACATATTATATTCGGTTATAAAACATTATTTATTACAAAGAAACCACATTTCATTGCTAAGGGCTACTAGTCTATAGTAACCTTACCAAAGTTTTATTTAATAAATAATAATATTATATACTTTTATAATCATATATGATTTTTGTAATAGGAAGTATGAAAGTGGCGCCGGTGTCGGAGAGGTTGAAAAGTAATCGTCTATCGTGGTATGGAGATGTAATGCGTAGGAATGAAGATAATATTTTAAGGAAGGTGTTACATATGAATGTGGACGGTTATAAGGGAGAAAGAAGGCCGAAAAAGAGATGGATGGACTGTGTGAAAGATGATATGGTAAGAAAGGAAGTAAATAACGAGATGACTGCGAACAGGGATGAATGGAAGAGAAAAACATATTACGCCGACCCCAAATAAATGGGATAAGGAAGAAGCAGATGATATGTTTTTTATAAATGACACTTAAAAAATTACAATACATATAGCACACTGTTTTATATATAACGAATTCGCTTCAGTTTTTTATGGAAAATATGTAGAATACATATTATATTAGAGAATTTTTTCTTCCGTTATTTAATAATGAATGAAAAAAAATATGTATTCAGTGTTTATAAATTCAATATTCATTCTATTATAATATGTATTCTACAAATTTACTACATAATTCGCCAAGAAAATTATTTTTTCCTCAAACTTTGCTATCCTACACGTCAGTTTAATTTAAGAATTAAATAGTTGTTTTTGAAAAAAAAGTAATTTATAAGCCTTATACAGCTGGTTTATCAGCGATCACTTATATAGAATTCATTATTTGTTCCTACAATAAATTAAATAAATATATCTCCAAGAACTATAGATGAAGTAAAATACTTTCACCGTAAATTTATTAAGCATTAAAAGACGGCGTTAATGAGGCGATGAAAATTTTAATCATTACATTTCTTGATAATAGTAGACCTTGTTTTATGATAATGAACTTTTCGATAATTATAATTATTATCCCATAATTTTTGCCAAACCATAAAGAACTGTTTATAAACGATTCATCAAAGCGTGCATTCGTTTCTATCGACAACATTATCAAGTCAAGAAGTTTTTATCTCGTCATACAAAATTCGATTTTCTACCATTTTTCTTCGTTGAAGTCGATTTAGCATGTTTATTAGGCATTACCATTTTTATCAAGATTTTGTTATCGGTTTCAGCGTGGTCCAATTTTTGGTGGATACGCTATTAGGTCTCTGAAAGCCGGGAGATTGGATCGGCCTGTAATACCCAAAACACTTTTATGTCTCACCATCTCGGTGAATATTATAAGTTATTACTGCCGCCACAAAGCTTACCGTCTTTATTTTGTCTATTATCCGTAAGTGTAAATTTTTACGGTATTAATACTTAATAAATATGTAATTTTTCGACTGCATGTTATGAATATCTCTACTGTATATACTCGTACAATGGCAGTTCATTAATTCATTACAGTGCCTAACGAATTATACTATGATAAAAGCTGCAACAGCTCATTTCAAAATCCAATTTGCACAGTGCGGAATATATTAAGGAGATTATTTTTATTATTAAACAAAATCTTGACCTTAGGAACACTATATTCCATCAATACTGTAATGTATACATCTAATACAAAGCAATGCGGATAATTTTGTAGCATATTATTTTCTTACGATCCACCTGATGGTAGTAGTATCAGAGACACCCGTGATACCACTCATGCATTGCCATTCCATAGAATTATGATATCATGCCTCCTATTCTGTAATTACACTGTCTAATCTGATTCTACAATCGTAACACACCTTACAGAGTTATATAGCGGCTGAAATAGGTGAAAAATACGATTTTTTACAGTCTATCTCTAATAAGTTCCGAAGTTTGGATATATAACATATTGTATATTTATAAAACGCATATAGGTTGGCTGGCTAATTCCTGGGTCTAAAAGTGTTAAATATATGAACAGAGAAGTAGAAGTAGCATCTCGTATCATTATCGTCAGCATGCACGGGTAATTCATTATCTCGAATTTTAAGCACAGAATACTTTTTTTTAAATATTATTCTATATAATATTTTCAGTATAAACAGTAAATTGTTATACTATCCCACAGCTTCATAGGTCAATACTAGTAGCTCTAAGTGATTTCTCAGAGATGTCCTATACAAATACGTTAAACTAATACGAACTTTTCCCAACATTTTTTGCCCTTCAATTACCAATATCGTCGTTAATATTAGTGAAGCAGCTGGAACTTAGTTAAGTTAGTATAAGAAAAATAAGTAATATTCTAACAAAACTGTACCACGGTTCGTCGAAGATGTTATTTCCTATCCCTATAATGTTTATAAATAAAAGAAAATCATTTTTACTATTCTCACTAATGATACTTACTATAAATCTATCAACGCAGTCTTTACGGAAATTTCTTTTAGGTTCAGTTATTTTTTATACTTTAATATGTTTATTCGTCTTTACTATTCTTCCCAAGCAGAGGGTTTTATGTCTAGGTGTAGCATTACACTTAATCTAATTTAAATTAAAAAATGAATGTGTATTTTTGTAAACATGTAAAAGCTGATTTGAAAAGAATAACAGCAGAGTTTCTTGTCAGTTCTTAGCTCGCATGTACTCTGAACTGACGGTAGATTTTGATATATCATAAGTCTGTCTGTTATATACCTACATAAATAAAAATATTTTGATTTTAGGCATACGGCACCTATTTTTATCAACCACTAGCTGACCAGCGCAACATCGTCAGCATTAAATTTTCTACGTTTTTACTTCACCTTTCAATGCACTTTCGTTCCCATTTCTCGTATTTGATGTTAAATGGGTTATCCAAAATAAAAATCCAGATTTTACCCCCTACAACCTCACAGAGTTAGATACTTTAGCAATATAAAAAAGAAGATATTGAATACTATAGAAGATAGACGACGAAAAATGTTAGGACATTTGATATGAAAAGATTATTGAATGAAAAATAGAAGGAAAGAGGGAGAGGGGAAGACCAAGACATAGCTACATATAGTAATGTCATATCAACGCTTAAAAAGTATGATGGAAGATCGCGGAAAGTCGCAACAGCTCCACCGACAAGAGTGGCTCTTAAATTATGAATTAATTAATATTACGAATTAAGGTGAGTAGAGTTTTAGATGCTAATATATATTTCATTTTCAGTATTCGTCCTCTGCTGGTCACCATACATGATATTCGACCTACTACAAGTGTATGATTTCATCCCTGATACGCAAGTCAACGTGGCCATAGCATCGCTGATACAGAGTTTGGCGCCTCTGAACTCGGCGGCCAATCCTGTCATCTACTTCATATTCTCCAACAGAATATTCATTAGCCTCAGGTATTTTTTTATTGATTATATCTTTTTTATGTAATGGCAAACAAGCAACATGTTAGCCATGGCACAAAGTTTTCTGTTTGTAACAAATAAACTCAAAAACTACTGTTTTTGAGTTTATTTGTTACAAACAGAAAACTTTCACCGTTATAATATTGGTGTAAAAATAGTGTGTATATATATAACTAGAAATCATACTGTCCAGAAAAGCAGTGTCATCTACTGGGTCCAAATATGTACATTAATATATTTTATTAAACTATCCAGAAACTCATAGGAATACCATTAAAGTTTCGGAGAAGTCTTGTGACAACTAAACGAGTTACAGAAGAATTATATATAACATTATATGTGTATATGTTACCTTTAGTTACTTTCCACATTTCCGCGGTTCATGTTTTAATTAATCTATGATTGCACAGCTTGAGCTGTAACGCAGTTGCGTCGCAGTTTCGACTTAATTATAAAGTTGCGGTTAGAATTTACGGGCACAGCGAGTTATCATGCTAATTCTCTGAAAGTGAGTTAGTTTATTTGTTATGTTTTTCAAATGTGTTTTCATTTGAAACGAAGAAGGAAATATTTTGTTATTATTATAAACTTTTTTTAATAATCATCGTTAAATAGTTGTTTTTAAACTTTCGTGTTTAATGTACAATATTTATATTATTAACCGGGTATTATTACGAGAGGTAAATACCTTTATTAGCCATACAATTATTCGTGTTAAAACCCATTTAATAATATAAATAATCATCTAATAAATATCCAAATTTTCAAGTTTTCTTTTTCAATGTTATTTGGAATGAAAAGTTTATATATTTGCAAAAAAAAACTACTCGTCACAGGAAAATCTTAGCACTATAAATTTTTACTGCGTTTTATTCTGTTTTAATCTTGTAACAAAAGATATCTTTCCTCGTGATACAACTAATTTTCAGATTGAATTTCAATGAACCATTCAATCTTAAAAAAATTACAAACAGAAACACAAACGTACAGATAAATAGACACAATTTCTTATTTATAATATAATATAATAAATTTCTCCGCTATTCGCTTACTGCCTGTTCAGATTGCCTGGGTACTATTAGAAATATGGTTTCGCGTATACTTCCAATAATTTACGAGCACAGCGTCAACTTCTCAAATGATTTATTAAAGCAAATTAATTATTAAAGACACTCTCATTTTAACAAAATACAGAAAATCTACTTTCTTGCTAGAAAATTTGGAAACACTCAGCAACTCGGAGTTTCAGTTAATTAAATTTTAATTATTAAAAATTAATAATAAGTTTTAGGTGTGTCAACTGTTAAGATTAATTAATTGTTCACTAATTTACATACACGAACTTATTACCTGTTTTAATTCTGAGGTAGACTGTAAAAAGTCATATGCATGGGTACCTCAGTCTCACCTATTTCAGCTGCCAAGTTTTGTAATTTGTAAGATGTGTTTCAGTTGCCAAGCAGCCTTTTTTGTAAGATGTATTTCAGTTATAGAGTACAGATTAGGCAGTGAAATCACAGGATAAAGGGCTTTTGTCATTTAGTCCTCTGGAATGAGTGGTATCACGTCTGTGATATGATAACGTGATATCCGTAGTGCTGTTCTTATATATAGGCGACGGTTACCGCTTACCATTAGGTAGACCGTCAGCTTGTTTGCCATTCTAATTAAATGAACAAAAATTTCTATAGTTTCCGTTTTTATTGATTACTTTTTATAATATTTCTCACTAATAACTTCTACATAAATAAAATCATTAAATAACTACTGAACTATTTCACGCACGTACTAATTTATTGTGGACTCACCTTCCAGCAATTGTATTTCCGAACAGGTACGGTATTGAAACCTTTAAGAAAACAGCTTATTCTTCCTTAAAAATCCGACAATTCTCCTGTAATTGCCCTTGGGTGTTCAAGGCTGCAGTACTCACTTACCATCAGATGTGCTGCAAGCTTGTATAAATAAATATAATTCCGAAATATTTTGTTTCTCGGTTTTCTCTCATTTGTATATGTTGCCTGATGATCATGTCTTTTTATATATAGAGTATAAAAATTGTTAAGACATAGATACTTAGAATTTCTAAAATACTTTTAATCATATATAGAACAAGATGGTGACTTTGTATAATAGATTGGATGTAATTACGTGAAAGACAGTCATTAAACGATTGCATTAATTTTGATAGTACAGTAATGCTAGCACAGTTCTCGGATCATAAAACGCGAGCGTGCTTTTAAGTGTTTCATACTGTTGCTCCGCTATATTGAAGGCTGAAGAGATTTCCAGAAAGCAAGTACCTACTTTAAGTGGATATTAGTATGCAATTTTCTTGGACGACAAGAAGGAAATAATATAAAGGAGTAAAAATTTCCAAGTTTTTTAAAATTCTTAGCAAGCAATCAGTAGCTTGTTCTAAGGATGAACGTCAATATCAAACTAATTAGTAAATGTTTCTAATTACCTTAATTATTCGATAATCGATTTTTGTAAAGGTAAATATAAAGAAATTAAATAACCCCAAATCAAAAAAGCTCTAAATATATGTAGTTATGAACCATCTCGATCACGTAAACATTCAAACCAACAAAATGTTGTAGGACTATCCAATACGTATTTTGAATTTCCTATCATTTTATGTTTCTAATTATTCATATGTTCATCAGGTAGCCCTATCTGATTTTATGTCATTTGCGTTTCAAATATCCTTTCTTTTTGGTCAACCGTATTGAGTCCTATTTGATTTCATGTCATTTTGCATTTATATCGCCTAACAGTACAAAATATCTTTAAAATACTCCTTTGTTTCGATTCGATATTGTTTAAGTATCGCTTGTAAGTGTAAATGTATTCGATACTAAAAGTGTTTTGTAATATAAGTATCGAGCGCTTACTTACTCGTATCTACCTACTTATATTGTACATTCGTAATTACAACAATATTCTAAATGATAATTGCTAATGCTTATTAATTTTGAGAACAGTTTATAGCCATAATTTATAAAACTAAATGAACATTCCTGCCTCGGAAATGTAAGGAAATGAAACAAAATAATATTCTACATTTAAAGCCGGATAGCGAAAATGAACGTTTCGTTTTTAGTCAAAACATTTGAAATCAAAACCAAACCGCATTTAGCGCTTAAAGGATTATCCTATTGTGTATTTAGAAAAATCTAGTAAAAGTAAATTGGTTATGTTGGTGGTTATAATTACTTAGACTGGAACACACGATCCCACATATAACAATAGGATTATATATATTAGATTATCAATTCTATGAAAGGTGTTGTACCTCTTATTTAATTAAATACAAGACTTTGTTCTTACTCCTGAGACTCATAGTTAAAAACACATTATTACCTATTACTTGGGTTTTAATATTACTAATTTTTAGAACTCACTAATTAGGGACTAAATTAGATTGCATACGAAATCGTCTGCATGAGACATCTTTACCTCACATATTTCAACCGCCAAGCGGAACACAGCTTACAAAGCAAGCTTGCTTTGTAAGCTGTGTTTCGTTTGAAAAGTGAGAAATGGCAGTGTAATTATTGGCTACGGAAGCATGACACCTATTGCGTTAATATTCCTCCAGAATGTTAACGCATAAGGAGTAATTCAATCGCTATGTGATGAAGCGTATACCCACTTTTCTGTACTCATTTTTTGTCATTATTATAGAAGACTTAATATCGATGTATTGAGATTTTTATCGTGATAAATATCGATAATTCCTACCTAACATGTCAACCAACAGGAACATACCCCCATACAAATGGTTGTGGTGCTGGGTGAAAGCCAGTGAAAGTCCAGCAGGCAACGAGTCTCGGGCTCACACCGAATTGCTTACATCTTCGCATCGGAGGACCAGACACGATCTTACTGTCAGGGTACGTATTGCCTACTTCTTACTGTCTACTTATTATATACACTAGCGCCTGTTGTTATAAAGAACGCGAGGTTCACAGATTGTTATTTTGCATACACACTTCCTTGTACGTACGTCTTGTACCTCTATAATATATTCGTACTTATCCGTCTTTTGTTTTATAATCCATCAGTCCATAATATATTAGAGATATAATAATTTATTGGAAGATTTACAATTAAATGAAATATAATAATAAGCTCAATTAAAGAAATCAAGAATCAAACCTCCCATATAATTTGTCTACAGTCGAGAAGTTATAAAATTATATAAATAGTTCAGTAGTATTATTAAGAGAAAACCAACATAGTGCTAATAAATGAAAGTTATAATTGAAGAAAAAATCAGGCGTTTCGTAATTGTTGCTACAAATACTACTTACACCTTTATACTTATCTAGCTCAGTTAAATAATTATGTTGTTACCGATACTATACTTTTTATATAGATTTATTACTTTTATACAATTTAACATATTTTACTTTACTGACTGAACTTTAACTGAACGTAAGTTTAATTCCCAACACACATCAATGGTGTTATTACAAAAAAGGTCATAATAACTACAATTATAAGTATCAAATTAAGACTAAATATTAAATGCAGTTAGTTCCTTCTTTTATATATCTAATTAAGAAATTTCCTGGTTATGTAACACAGTTAACAAATCTTATTCGAAACAGATTGAAATTAACAGTTCTACCCTCTTCAATATGTGTTAACCATTTAATAGCATATAATTAGTAGCTTAATTTGACGATCCGTCACAGACAATTAGTACCTACGTCTATAATTGAAATACCGCTAATTTCTGTTTCAAGTAGAATTGTTCGACAGTGCTTCACATAATTAAGCCTCTAGCGTTAACTTAAGTTAACAACTTTATATTACGAGCTGTTTATAGTAATTTTATCTGCTTTATAATAAAATAATACCATATATAAGTCCGTACATGGTACATCTTGGCGTCAGATTTCATTAAATCTGTTTAGTTCAGCCCTAAAAAAGATAACAAACCAGCATATAGATAGGTATGCTTTCACATTTATAGGTAATAATAGTAATACGGATGGTGTACCGCTTGCGGCCATTACGTGACATTACTAAATTAAATTTAAAAAAATCCTAAAGTTCTAAAATATTCTTCAGTCTCGTCTGATTAGTAATTTTGCCTGTTCGTTTGTAGTTTCTTATATATACTAGCGGCCCCGGCTTCGGACGAGTATAAGGACGCTATATAAATACTATTTTGATATTTATTTCACACGTTGGGTTACATTATCGAAGTTTTCGTAACCTTACCTAATATAATAAATAAAAGAACTTTTTCATATCCTATTGCTATGTTCATCAGAGATATTGTAGGATTAGAACGGTAAAATAATATGTAGAAATAGATCCAGTAGTTTCGAAGCCTATACAGTTTAAACAAATCTTAGCCGTGTATTTTATATCAAAACCTAATAATAATAATAATCTTTATTTAACTCTGAAGGATCATTACGATATCTTATATATAAAATTCTCATGTCACAGTTTTCGTTCCCATACTCCTCCGAAAGGGCTTGACCGATTCTCATGAAAGTTTGTGAGCGTATTGAGTAGGTCTGGGAATCAGCCAACATCTATTTTTCATCCCCCTAAATGTTAGGGGTAGTCCACCCCTAAATTTTTTTTTATATTTTAAGGTAAAACAACGTTTGCCGGGACCGTTAGTTATTTATACAATAGGTACACTTTCAAGACAATATCAATCCTTTTATTATTTCTGTGTAGTCCTGGCTTCTCAACTAGCATTAGCCGTATGATTTTAGATATATAGATATACTCGTGTAAATAGCCATCTTTGTTTAAATGAAATTCAATAATTAATGGCGGATACATGTCAGTGACATACCTGTAAGATAATATTTCGACAGGGAACAATATTCGTGAATTATTTACAGGTGAGTGTACTTAGGTGACGACCGAGACAAAAGGCTTTTGATGTCAGAATCTTAATAGCACCGTGACAATATGAATGAAAACAGCATTGTTAATTTAGGTGTTCCCAAAATAGGCTCTCAAACAAAACATATGGGATATAGTAATTATACACATATTAAAAAAGTCTACTGAATCCTTAAGTCGGTCCTTAACATGAAATCGATAGAATATAATATTAATATTTCAACCTAGCTTGAAATTTTTGCTGCTGATCTTAAATAAATATAATATGTGATATTTATTGAAGACAGTTGATGTTGTCTCTGATTGTGTCATCTGAGATTCTGAAAGTACGTCATTATTCTATTGAAAATTACCAGAGGTAGACTAAAATATAAAAGCCATCATCAGATGGCAGAATATCAATTCTAGCCGACAAGTAGCTTGCTTTATAAGCTTTGTTCTGGTTTTATGTGCTTAGTTCACTGACGAGATAACACCAGTGTAACGTTATTGTTTTTCTAAATTGTTTTTGGGTGATTTAGTTACTGCATATATCTTTTACAATCATAATTAGTTAGTGTTACAAAAATGAGTAGAAAGTAATAATAATATTTAAACAAATTAAAGGGGTTCGATCACTGGATGAGTACAACTTTGTCCTGCTGAATAGCACTCCCCTGTTCTGTGAGGTGGCAGATACGGGAATCTACAGCTGCGGCTGTGAAGGAAGGTCGTGCGCTTCCAAACAGGTCCTACAGGTGCTGGAGAACGTTCGGAAATTCTTATGGGGTTTACTCAACCCCTAATCTTGTACTAACGTGACGTTCACGTCTATAGGCGACGGTCAACGTTTACTATCAGGTTGGCCAGCTTGTTTGCCATTCCCATTTCATGTCATCATATTTTATATTCATGTCATGTCAAATGCATCATCATTTTACTTTCTTAATCAGTAATTATCTTTGATAATCAGGTTAAAGAAGATAGCCTCAAATACTCCAAACCGAGAGTTCATCAGTGCAACAGTACGAGCTCAAGGAAAGTCCGCCTCCACCTTCCAGATGGTCAGAACCAGATCAACAACAATTGTCACCCAGTGCAGAGGAGACGCGACGATACGTTTTTGTAATGTATTTATGTACTTTTTAATTACAGTTGATTCGAGAACATTCTAAATTTTGAAAATGTTACTTTTTAATATTCTGTATTGTTAGACACTACATTCCTATTACTTAATTGATAATGGACTAAGACACGGCGTAAATATATAGCCTCATCTGTTATTTCATACTGAGAATGTTTATAATTTGACGACCTCGGTGGTCTAGCGGTTTAGCTCACCGCTTTACTTCTAATAGTCGTAGGTTCGATTCCTCGTACGGTGCAAATATTTATATTCAAGAGAATGTTTGTATCGGTCAGGGTTATATATGTATTATACTAAGAAACTCCGAGCAGTTCCTGGAACTTATGACACGGGTGTAGGTAGGTATATAAAAATCCGTAAATCAAAATATTTATCAATAACCTAACCAAAATGTTGTCATTATCAAGTAACAGGCGAGAAATATATATTTCTTATGTCGCATCTCCTACTATAATACTTGTCGTAATACATCGTGACTAGGTTGTTGTAAAATTCTCATTAACATTAGAGTATTATTCACGATCCTTTATTTTTATTTTAAGACTTAACGTTTTGGTATACGATTATATTTAGAAAAACGTTTATAGCTTCGATATGAATAATTAAATTTATCATTTATTATTACATAACCATGATTAACTAGAATGTGCTTCTCTATCCTCAAACCTATGTAGTTATATGTCAGAGTTCATAATAGAAATGAAAATATAACAACCAAGCAATCTCACTTTTGGACTTACAATATTGGTTCAGATTTATTAAGATACTATTTAATACTAGCTGTTATCCGTAACTTCGTCTATTTCTGAGATAATATATAGCTGTCATCATGATGAAATCTGTGGACACATCAAATATTAACATCCATTCCGCCATAGGTAGGTAGGTAACAAACAGATAGACATACATTTTGTCGCATTTATATAAATAGATAGACTGCTATATAGAATTATGTAAAAGGGGCTTAATTAAAATTAGTTTTCATTAAATAATAGAGTTATGGATAGAATATTTTGCTCAGTTATTATCAACCCTATTAATATTTAGTGGCTTTAATAAACAGTAAGACAAAATCTGAGATGAAATAGTTGTGTTGCATTTTTTAATTTTTTTTGTCTCCATTCAGTACTGGTCGCATTTGCGCATTTGCAGTGATGTTTGTATATTTTTGTATAAAATTATTACTAATATTTATACATTGTGCATTTTTTAAATACGTATGTTTTCTTTGTCATAAAATCTTAAAAAAATAGTTTTATTATCTATGCTCGCATCACAACTGGAACTTAAAACGTAAATAATTTAAATGTTATAAATAACGTAAAGACTAATTTATTTTTTATATAAATATAAATTAGTCGTTAGGTGTGTACCTATATCGTTGATATAGGTACACAACTAAACACAAATTTATATCAACAGGCTGTATTATGTCCTTCAGAAACAAACAAACCATAACGTTAGGCTATCAAATTAAAATATAAACTAAATGGCAACATAATGTTACATCTTAAATTCAAACGCCTCCTAATTTCACTGCGTTTAATTTAGCTCCAATTATTTGTACAGCACCTGAGTGATGCTGTAATGTAATTGCTTCTGTTCTATGTATATTAGTTTACGGTGTCACACAGCTGGTTTCGACTTTATTTTTAAGCATTATGGTATATTAATTGTTACCTGCGGCTTCGTCTGCATTTTTAAGATAATTGTCTATGAAAATCTGTTCAGCCGTTTAAAGGTAAAACGGAAAACAGACAGATATACATATATAGAGACAGTCATCATTTCGAATTTATACCATTAGTATGCAGTATTTTACAGTAATTGAAATTTAACATTCGTAGATAGAGAAACGTATGTACTATGTTACATCTTAAAGCTTTTAATTTTATGGTTATTAATTTCACTCTAATTATTTTTACAGCAGCAGAGAAAGATTTAAAGGTAAATGCATTATATTTTAGTTCATGGCCTTGTGCAGATACTTTCTCGATTATTTACATTCTGTATTTAAATATCCAATATTGAGTTAAATAAATAGGGTACTAGTCCCGATCTGCAGCAGTATGATTTTAAAAATAAATTCTTCTGACTTAATTTTTGCTCTACATTGTGTGTTGTTAACTTTATTTTAACGTGTATTGCCATGTTTGTACCTATTACTATTAATTTTATCTATACTTAACTCCCTATCTAGCGTACAGTAAAACTTTCATAATTACATTTTATCTGTCTAGTCTATGAATATTACGGGCCTAATGTATACAACATTCATTCTATATAAACTAGATATATAATTGACTATATAAAATCTAGTTTTAGAGTGACATAAATATACTTGTGTCGTATTGATTTTCAATGCTTTGAGAACCTGGATGCAGTAATACTAATATTATTATAGATACATTTATCATCATGTACTTTAATACTTTTATACTTTGTCACAATAAGAGTGGGCTCACATTATCAAATTCCGACTTTATGGTTCGTGTCGACGATGTCGTTCGATTGAGGCAATTTTTACTACGCCTCTCTCTCTAAAAAATGCAGTTGTAAGAAAGTTATACTTCAATGTATGATTCTACGTTTAATAAAACGTTATTTTACCTAAATTTTTCATAAATACATTTTTCCTCTCAAAAATATCACTGTAACAAAGTAGAAACATATTCACAGATCAGTCCACGTATTTATTTTTTAATGACTAAGAAATCTAAAGCATAGAGCGCTATATGGTCACTCTAGATTAGGCTTTACTGTCATCAGTCAGCATTTATTTTGCCAATTATATTCTTCATAAATACATAGTCACTATATATGCGTGTCTTTATTGTTTAATGTTAGTTAATAATATTAAGTATTAATTATTATAATGTATTCAAACCAATTAATACAGGGAATATATGTATTATTATAGGAAGTATATAAAGTTCAAACTTCTTTAAACTGGGACATTCCATGCACCACCCGTAGCTAGGTTACGTGACGTTGTTGCTAACAATTTCAATTTGAAACATATTACAATCCACGGATTTACTAGACAACGTCACAATCGCAATTAATAGTTGTAACTGCAACTCGTAAACTGTTGATATAGAATCATAAACATTTCCATCAATTTTTATTCGTCACAAGTTATAATTGTTACTAAGTCGCTGAAATATTTTCCATTATTTCAGTTTAATCTATGTAATATATATTTAATTTACCATTAAATAAAATTGGATCAAAGGGCGTAGTTAGACTTTGGAAGCCAGTAGAATGGAGCCGTCGTAGACTTTGTAAAAATACATCTGCCTCTTTCCGATTCATTTTTATTTTGAATCATTTTCAGTATCCAAGCATCTTACTATAGAAGCGGTTTGAGTTGAGATTTGGTGGTGAAATTATATGGTATGCTTAGTAATGCTTAGTCCTCCAAAATCATAAAATAGCTATAAATGACAGTCTTATGGCACATACAATCTCTACCAGAAAACCATTGAATATATAAACATTAGTCAACCTTTATAATTATTAGTTAACGAAATTATTTATTGATTGTGAATTCAATAAGATATAGCTTGATCTCTGTACTACATGACGTTAACTACAACGTAGAGATCTTTGTTAATTGGATGATTGTTACCACTTGGAACCATTGGATCCCTCAAATACTGCCTCTTAAACCCAAACTGTCCTACTCAACCCGCAATTAATTTTATAGTCCCACTGGTCCCACAACGTGAGTCAACAAATTAATATAGGGGTAAATAGTTAAATAACCTATCCATGTAATACCTACCTACATAACATTTCTGAACATGAAAATACTATCCTTGTTTCGTTGAGAATATTTTTATTTTTAGAATAGGTATATTTAATACTATATTTTGACATTTTACCGAGGTACACTTTGTACATCAACCTTTCACCTTATTTTGCAAGATATGTTTTCATTGAAAGGTGTTAATAACATCGCATACAGCTATGACGCACTCGTCATCCTACTGCGGCTGCGCACCGTGCAATATTGTGAATCTGTGCGCATTACATTTACGCGGGAAAATAAATAAGACTTACAAGACTTCTCCAGCAGACATACTGATTTGTAGGATTCTTAATTGTTTTATACTGTGATATGTATTATTTTATATATCAATTCTGTCTGTTTGCAATTAATTTTTAATTCTATATACTACTTAAGTTCTATATATACGGGTTATTCTATAAATACTGTCCCAAAGGGTGATAAGGCAGTAAAATTAACATGACATTGTAGTGCTCTGGAGAGGTACAATAATTGTTATGTGATGACGTGATATCCGTAGTATTGTATTGTATATGAGCGACGGTTACCGCTTACCATCAGGTGTAACGCAAGTTTCTTTACTAGACCAATGGATAACGACTTAATTTTTTTTTAATTAAAATTATACCAGTGCAAATGCTAAAGAAGTTTGAACTTACCATTTTAGTAACTAGTATAAATGTTTATATAACTTAATTGTTATTATAATATTTGAACCAAATGTAAATAATGCAGACTAAATCATGTATCCGATATAAATCTAAATATAACTAAGTAAGTTACTGTAATTCGATGTTATACTTTAATATCATACAAGGCATAGATACTTGCCTTATATATAGAATTCTTTTTACTGTATCATTATTTTTATTATATATTAATACACATAGTTGTATATTTCATTAGTCAGAGTCGATACAACGATTAATTTTTTTACCAAATAAAGTGGTTAAATTAACTTGTCATTTTAAAACCGTTCTTTACCGAAGTCTCAAATTGATGTCTTATATATGTCTCAATTTTTAGAAACAGTACAATATACTCCAATTATAACTTAGAAATAAATTTTTCATAAAAGAACATTTATCTGTGCATATTAACACAACGTGGCTCATAGACATATTTGTTTTTAGTAGAGCCTGAAGTTCACCAATATTACCTACTACATAGTATCAAAATTAATAAAATAAACTGTTTTAATAAATTACTTTATCTATAAATTGTTTGAAAGCTACATTATTAGCACTTGAGCAACGCTGTAGAATAAAACTAATTATTTAAAAGAACAACACACAAGTTTATTTTCTTATATTATATTCAAACTTCTTCTGAGTCTGCATTCCGAATAAGTAGTAGAATAAAAAAAAATATGAATAATCATAAGTTACAAGCACTTTTGATTATTCATATTTTTTTATGATCAGTTTATTTGAATAAATATTATTTCTATTTCTATTCATTAACATTACAATTTGAGTATTTTTTTTATATGACAGGTGATGGAGACGATTTCAGACTTCGGCGGCGAACGCACTAAATCACTGAACAGTATTTTTATAGAATAGATGTGTAATTATAGATTATATTGGTGCCAAAGTAGTCCAGAGTCAAACTCTAGTCATATTTTGTAATTCATGTCTAGACAGATGCCAATTTTAGTGCTAAGTTAAATTAATGTACCAGTTATCATTAAATAAAAATAGCTTAGAATTGATATGAACTTAGCACCAAAATTATCACCCATCAATTTAATTATTACGATGTTTAATTACAATTATCTGTATTATTATAAGTATACCTAAGCGTATATGTATTAAAAACTGGGATTTTAGATTAAACGAATTGAATAACAATGGTTTTGTTTATTTTTCATTATGAATTCAGTGCTTAAATTATTAATTAACGTAATAAATACAAAGAAATCAGGAAATTTAGTTAAAATAGAGTTGTAAGAGTGTAGCCTAGCTTTGAATTATCTCTGCTCGTCCTAAGGAACATCTATTAAAAATTAGACAATGTTTTGGGACAACTTCTTACCAATATTATCTCTTTTAAATAACACAAACTTAACTGAAATAGTAGTCATTTATCGTTACCATTTCAGCCTGTATCTATCCACGGTTTGATACAGTCTTTCCCAAAGCTTTCCACCATCTTCCGCCTTCCGCATCCAACCACTCCCGAACACCTCTATGATGTGGTCGGTTTTGATGACATAATAATAACTCTGTAAAATTTACACAGTGTCATCTAGGCCCAATTAGCATGGCTTTGTTATGAGTACCTACTAGGCAATTTATAAATACGTATAATAAATACGTCAAGCCTTTTAAAGAGAATATGCATAGAGATTGAGTTAAATTAATTAATATAGGTAATATTATAACATTATTTATATTATGCATCACTGGCAAGTAAATAATATGAATAAAAAAGTAATAAATTTAGTCATTTTATGCATTCGATATAGTCAATAGGGTACGTCAAGAATATTATGTCCGTTACATTAAGATACCTTTAAACCCCACACAAACCCACTTCTTGTTAAGAAGTAAACGGATCGAGAGAGCTCAAAATAAAATGGTAGGTTTATAAGCGCGTCGTAGAACACGAAACGCTAAAATGTCGGCGACCTCGGCCGTTTGGTTTTCTCTCTCTAACATGAGCGAGATGAAAGAGACAGCGCAACACGATACGATCCGGTACGGCAGTGACGTGTCAAACAAAGGAGTGTGAACAGTGAGAGTTTGTTTCGTGCAATATTTGGTTGGGTTTCAAGTGTATTTATCGTATAATTCAATTAATATGAAGGAATTTAAATACGATGTCGTAGAATTGATACGTGGAGTTCAAGAACGACCGTGTCTATGGGATAAAACATTGGAGAACTATAAAGACCGCGTCGAGAGAAGGGCCGCTTGGGAACAGATATTCCGAACTTTGGATGAGAGATACGACGATATGTCCGCGGAACAAAAACGTACAATGGGTATGTGTACCTGATTTAAAAATATACTCTATGTGAGCGCAATGTTTTGTTGAATTCAAAGTACAAGTTCATGACCACTACAGATGTTTTGAATCTCTGTAAAGTTGTAAATATTATGTTGTAATCTATTTTGTATATAAAATTTATATAGAAAATTAACTTCTTATTACTTCGAAGGTGGCGAAATTCCGCAAAGTATTTACTAGAGGAATGAAATGTGTTGTATTTAGACTGCATGTTTTACTGGATTTATAAGATAAAACAAATAACAGTTTTATTTTATTAAAAAAATATTCGATTGTTTCATAATATTTCATATACCTCAATTAAATGTTAGTATATCTTATAGGTTGACTAGTAAAATAGTACTAATATTGATTTGTATTTTATAGAAAACTTTAATTTAATTGGTAGTCATTGCGGAAATGTTAGAATACAAAAAATATATAACTTTATAAAACTAACCGCATTTCTGACCTGTAATTGTAATAACACCGACATCTTTTATCTTTCAGGGGAACTAATTTTAAATAAATGGACCAACATTCGTGATACTTTCGTGAAGTCCCTTAAAACTAAAATGGGCAAACCAAAACGAAAATACCTTCTATATCATCATCTCAAGTTTCTAACCAAAGTCGTTGTAACCGATGGAGAATGTCTTGAACCAATGGATGACAGTTCTAATCCTGCTAATCTTTACATGAAGCAAGAAGAACCAGAGAGCGAGTCCGTTCTAAGTAGAATTAGTACTAGTAAGAATGATGATAGCGATGAAGACTACGTATCAGCTGAAACACTTAGTAATACTCACAATACAAGGAAACGATCAAAAAGAACAGATTATAAAGAGGAAGATGTATTTGCTAATACAAGAGACTATGAACCTAATAGTTCGTTGAATTTTGTTGAAGTCGAAGAAACTAACGATCCAAGAGTGATGAATGAAGATGAAGCTTTCTTTGCATCGCTTCTACCAACAGTCGTCAAATATAATGAGGATGAAAGATTAGAATTCAGAATACAAGTTTTAGCCGTGATGAAAAAGATTAAGGAAAATAGGAAATGGTCGGACTAAGATTTTTATTAGATTAATATATAATATTGACGGAATATTTCTTCTGAGACCCAAACAGATGTCGTTTATTACATATTGGTGTATATTTTTATAGCATAGTCTAAGTTTGATAATCTTTTCATATCGAACCTAATATTTAGTATCACATTAATTACAAAAAAAAGTTGTCAACAACAATAATGTAGTGACCTTAGCAAGTATTGAGTAAGTGCCTACTGTACTTTATACTTACTAATATTGAAATTATGTGTCATTTTTATGCGTCGCAACTTTTTTTGTATATTTTCGATGCGTTTTTGAAATTTACTTGTTTCAAGACCCGGTAAAATTATTGTACGATTTATTGTACATTATTAAGTTTATTGTGCTACATGGCTTATTAATAACGCGTACAATCGACGTGGAGTCGGGACGTAGACTAAATTTACACTTAACTTAAAAATATGTTATCAAATAAAAAAATAATCGTCAAAATGAAACTACTCCTTAAAAAGTTATGAGAGGTAATCTATATTATCGACGTCCGATTAGATGCAGTGTATATATGTAAATTTGTGCAGTATAAGAATGTAAGTCAATCATAATAATTATACCGTCGGGTTGGAAACGTACGATTATAATTTAATGATCTCAACTACGTGATAATAATAATAATAATCTCAGGACAATTCACACAGCGCCATCTAGTCTCAAGTTAAGCTATCTAAATCTAAAGTGTTATGGGTACTACAAATACATAGATATTTTTTTTTCGTAAATACATACATATTATACATAGAAAACACCCAGACCGATACAAACAATCATACTCATGAATACAAATGTTTGTGCCGTGCGAGGAATCGAACCCGCGACCATCGGACGTAAAGCGGTGTGCCTGACCGCTAGACCATCGAGGTCAAGATAAGTAAAGTCGTGATAAGTATTTTAAAATGTTCATTCGAAGTAATGATGGAAATTAAAAGGTACATGTTAAATACATAATTTTATTTGATTGTCAATTTTATTTATTTACTCATTCGAAACAATATAAATTGTGTAGTACAACATAATTATCTTAACTGTGATAATAGTAACATAAATGGTAAATTTTGTCTAAAACATAATAGTAAGATTAAATAAGAAATACCAGTATTAAATACCTTTAGACTCGCTTTGTATTGTTATTATTTATTTTGGTTTATGCTGTGTACCCGCGTTTTGGTTTATACTATGACTTCGACCGGAAAATTAAATTTCGTCATGTTGACGAATTAAAATTATTTAATTCGTCAATTTGTAACGAAATAAATTACTAAATTCACACTCTAAAATTAGTCCTTATAACATTAGCTATCTACGAGTGAAAGTCCCGTCAAAATCGGTCTAGCCTTTTCAGAGATTAGCTGGACCAAAAGAGACAGACAGACAAAAATTGTAAAAAATGTTATTTATATTCATATGCATGTAGTAGAAAATGGTTATTTCAAACATTCCAATTTTATTTATATGTATTGATAAAGACAACATATTATTGATGATACAAGACGATAGCTATATCTTATAACATAATACATAAACCTAAATTATAGATATAAATAAGAGTATATTCTTCCTAATATACGTAAGATGTCTGATCATGAAAATGTTGAATACATTTGACAGAAAAATAACTAAATATATGTAGTGAATCACATAATACTATATTATATTAATTTCAACTGTGTTATTCAGTCATATTTTACTGTTCTTATGATTTCTATTCATATAGTTTTCTCATTTCAATACATAAATCATACTTTATCTAAAACATTGCATAGTACATAAATATCGCTGAAAGATAGCCGTACATTATTTAGTTACCCAAAGCAACCAATAAAATCTCAAGCACTAAATCACGACCATTAAGAGAGAATTCGAAATTTAATTTTCGTCATTTATAACTTTTAAAAGTTTTTTTTATTTACTAAATCACTTTCGGTTAAAGGAAAAATTTCACGCAGCTTTCCAGCCGTTGTTCTTTAGAAGTGGTTTATCGCGAGTAAATTACGTTTTGGCTATTAATTTACGCCCAAAGATGAAATATTAGCGCGTCACAATTTTGTCGTTAAATCTTCGTCGGATTTTCAAGACCACGAAATATTTTGGTGTCCTTAGAGATTTTTGAGCCTTGTTGTCGAGGGTCTTGGGTCCGTTTGGAAAGTTATTTGGAATCAACTTTTTTTTAGAATAAAATTCCCACAGTTCATATAACATACCAGTAGTGGTGGCATAGACTTTATTTTAGTTGCGTTGATCTATTAAACAAGAAATCAGGTATGATAATACTATCTCTTAAAACTACTTGTTCGGTGAAATGGAAAATATTTTCACATAATTGTACCTAATTTTTTATAAAAACATCTACCATTATATCGATATACACAATATATACACCTACATCACAGCTTACTAAGCAATTAACCACTAAGTTTATACAGCTTCTACAGATAATTTGTGAATTCATTATCGAGCGTCCCATTAGTTGATAATGGACGAACGGAGCGCCTTTTTATTTTCTCATTGCAATTTTTCTTAAATGGGATTAAAATTTGTTATACTCAATAAAACTATTTGAGCAATTTAGTAAGTAAACTGAAAAGCGAAAAATAATAAACAATATCTTTCTGTCTCTTGATAGATGTAAAGCCCATCCATTAACTTATTTTTTACTTGACAGACAAACTTAAAGAAAAGTAACAATTGCTAACAATACTTGCACTTGAAATTATTAGTAAGATTGTGATTAATAAAGATAATATAATTATAATAAAGAAGGTCCAATTATACCTCCAACTAGTATGAATTATATTCTTAAACAAATAGTGACCGATACTTAAGACCTCGTGTATATGCAATCTGTAAACGATAATTAAATGATAAAAATAAATAAAGAACTCTTACAACGTTAAACGTTATTTTACTAATAAGTTAATTAGCAATATTAAACATCGTTTTCAAAATTAATAAGAAAAAATACTAATTTACACTTTTGAGAGATTTTCTAAAATTTCTATAGCCGACATGTCGACTCAGATTTAATAATTTAATATGTAAAACTTTCATACTTATAGAGCCAACCGTTTTTATATAAAAACTTACCACACACAAGCAATCACACAGTTTCCGCTTCGTAACGATTATATAATTTTACTATATGTATAGATATCCAAGAATTTTCCTCTTTTTCGAAGTTGGTTCAATATAAATCTACACAAACTTTTGGGATCATGATTCATATGTGGGAGGCCAGTTTATCACATCAACGACTCTTGTCATGAACCTAACCTCTTCAAGTGCCACACATTGTAATATATCATCTAGCATTTTGCTACTCGCCGATTGGATAGCAGCTTCTTCGAGAAATGTCACAATGGTTTTATTTGTATACGTACTTACTATATAAGTACCTATATATCAATATTTTATATCGTCGGCATACGTTGTATTACAATATTATGACAGATCTTGATTGTTTTCAATGATAATTGTCTTATTTGTCGCTAGCTGTGCTTACTGTTTCACGCGCAAGAAATTTACAGCCAACGTGTTATTCAGATGCAATAAGCTATATTAATGTTGAGATTTATCAAATTCCGTTCAGTAATTTTTACGTGAAACAGTAATACATCTATCCATATTCAAGAGTTTCACGTTTATAATATTAGTAATATTGGTATAAATCAGAGATGTCGCATTTGTTTCATCAAACTTGACGTTCATAAGCGGCTAAAACGTCCTACATGAATAAATGATTTTTAAATTTTAATTTGAAATTTGAATCTTTCTACTAAATCTAAATGTGATGATCTGAGCGACTAGCTGATACATTCGGCTTGAAAAATTTGTGAAACAATGATGATAATATTTACTTCCTTAAATTTCTTACCCAATGATTCTAATACATATATAAAATCCCTACATAATTTATAGAGCATTATCTAGTCCCAAGCATAACTTGTATTATTAGTAATAGACATTTGATATTTTTTTGTAAATACATAATATACTTATATGGTCTGGACATTTTCTATATATATTATATAAACAAACATATTCATAAATACAAACGTTTGTATCGTGCGAGGAACCGAACCCGCGACCATCGGAAATAAAGCGGTGAGCTAAACCGCTAAACCAGAGGTCGTCAATATAAAAAATATAGGTAACTATTTACGCTACCGCTACATTAGCTGAAGTATTACAAATTAGTTAAAATAGGTAATAACTATTACAAATTGTTACAGATACTTTTATATCAAACTAGCTGTCCCGGCAAACGTTGTTTTACCATATAAATTAATAATGCTCTAAAAAAATAATAAACGCAATATAAAAATTTAGGATTATATGTATTTTTAATGTACACTTAATAAAAATATATAAATAAAAAATTTTGACAAAAAAAATAAATAAATAATGTCAGGGATGGACAACCCTTATCACTTAGGGATATGAAAAATAGATAGTAGCCGATTTTCAGACCTACTGAATATGCATATAAAATTTCATAAAAATCGGTCAAGCCGCTTCAAAGGAGTATGGTAACCAACATTGTGACACGAGAATTTTATATATAAGATTATGTTGATTATAGCATGTAATATTTAGCTAATTATTTCGGTATGTGGCAATTAAAAATTGTTGTTTGTGATTGATTCTATACTTATTCTCTGGTTCATAAAAATGTATATAGAAATAGACTGTAAGATGGATAAAATTAAAATTTATTCTAAAAGAAATATTTTATTGTGAGAGCACGAATATTTTCAGTAACAGATATATTTCAGTACTTATATCAAAGTGTATGAATATGGAATGAAATGAAATACTGTCGCACACATAAGTGAGAACTTCATCTTATTTGTTAAGTGTTGACGAGTTGTCTTGTATATAATATTTCATTTGTTGAATATTTTAAGTAATTGAAACATTTTCAGGCAAAGCCCTCTTTATTATGCTGATTTACCAAAACATACTGCGATGCATGATCATCAGACATGTCTAGAACATTGAGTGATAAACTATCATTTGTATAAATAATAGTTAAATAAACAAGCGTTATAACACATGACACTGATAAGGTAAGACTGATAAGAGTATTAGGAATAACATGAATTGACTTGTGAACGACACACTAGTTACCTGATGTAAACGGTTCTAAGTAATTTATGGACACAGATACTTACTTAGA